TATCTCTTCCCCCCCCCCCCCCCCCCCCGAAATTCTAAAATTAAGGTCTGTTGTTCATTTGAAGCTACAGAAGTAAAAAGTGCATTTCTAGGTAATTGCTGTGCCTGATTTCCAATTTAGTGGAGTAAAGCTGAGCTCACACCACCTCAAGAACACTGAGGTCATTTAACTGTGCTGCTAAATTAAATTCTACGGGGTTCAAAAACTGATCTACTTTGTGTCTTGGAAAATTGGTAGTTTCAAAAACAGAAAAACAGAACAGATGAAGATCTGAGGTGACAGAAGAATCCTGCCAGACTGTGTTGTTAAAAGTGTATTCTATGACTTAGTTTGCTTCAAGACATACTTAATGGAAAATGAAACATTAAATGTGTGGGGTTTTTTCTTCCTTTCTTTGTTCTGCAGTGAGGAGAGTTACAATGTCACAGATTACTCTTTAAGGGACCAGCTGGTGGTACAACAGTGTGACAGTGAGGACCTGTCTTCTCCTGTAAAGAACACTTCAGCTATGCTTTACTCGCGGCAGACTTCTGCAGCTCACCTCTTCAGACTACTGGTCCTCAGTAACCACGCTGGAGAGAAGGTGGAGATGCTCCTGGGAACAGAGAGTCAGTAAGTGAATAGTTAACGTTTCTATAATTTTTCACCCCTCAACAGGCTGCCCCTCCCAAACCATCTGAGTTTTAGGCTCTCAGCAACAACATTCCCATCTCACCCTGTGGAACAACATGCTGCTGTGCATGCTGAGCAGTTGAATCTAAGTGAATCTGCTGTGAATCTAAGTATAATGTGGGTTACTATGAGAAAAATGTTGCTTTTACTGTTGTAGCTCAGGGAAGCTTTCTTGATACTTACCTTGGTTAGAAGACCTTGAATAATCAGACTGCAGAGATTCATTAAAGTTTGCTCTGTCTCTGCTTTCCTGTGCTGGTTTGTTCCTCACAGGTTTAAAGTATCTTACCCTAATTTCAGTTCTTTTAGCAGTGTGGCATTACATCATATTGTATGTACACAGAGCATAGTACTAGCAGGAGGAAACTGGCACAAGTGTTTCCTTAGGAATGGTGGTGGTCGCAGGCAAATGATGTTAGGGTATGAATGCAGAATGCTCTTGTCCTGGAGGAGTAATTTTTGAGTTAGTTATAACGGTTGGATGGTGCAGAAGTGGAACAGTGCTGGATTAAATGGGAGGAGTCTGGTGTTGCCCCAGGGAGCTGTGCTGGGATAGAGGTGGTCCTTGTTCTCCTGACAACAGTTTTCTGCTTTAGAAACGAGCAACAAGAAGTGTCTTGTTCTGTTGGGTGCAAATACCCGAGAGGCCATCATCTCTCTCTGGTGCCATTAACTTCCACACAACCCTGCACAAAAGTGAAAGATTTTATCTGTTCTAGTGGAATCTGGAGGCGGGAGGGAAGACATGAAGCAGACGTAGCCCAGCCTGGAAAAATTTAGTTTTAGGTTTTCTTTCAAAGTTTAGAATAACCCTGAAAGAAATTATAGATCATTAATGATTTCTATTAAAGATCTCATTATAAAGTACGCAGATGATTCAGACATGTTTGGAAATGCGTTTTATTGGGAAAAAAATGCAGGACATTTTTAGTTGTCTGGGCTTTTTATGAAAAGAAATTTTGTTCTGCGGATTTATTATTGATTTGCTGTATACTGTTTGTCTTAGAAATAGACCAGCAGATTGTCATTCAGAGAAAAAGACTCTGAAAACAATTACTGTATTTGGAAATTACCTGGTTTTGTAGAGCATTATCCTGTATACAAAAGGTAGAGGAAATAATTTTCTCATAACTTTGAGGTCAGGAAGGGAATCTGCAGTGGGAACCCCAAGCTCAATGGGTTAGAGTGCTCACCGAATAGAGTTCAATTTTAAATGTACAAAACTGTTCTATCTATCTGACACAAAGATTTGTAGCAGTTCGATCGTGTCTTGTCTCTTCATGTGGTGTGTGTGGTTCAGGACTTCATATTACCCTGTGAATGAGGCACAAAATACATGGTGTACGCAGATTATGAAGCAATATACATTTAAAATGGGAGACAGTCTAGGATCATCCCCTTTTTCTTAGAGTTGCCTGAAAGGAAATGTACTTTTCCTGTTAAGAATGGTTGGTTACAGGGAAGGAAAATAGGAGTCTAAGTAAGTGACACCTTTTTCTAGAGAGAAAGGAAAAAAAAAATCCAAGCAAGCCCCACAAAACCAAACAAAAACTAAACCAAAACAACCTCCCTCCAACCCCCTCAAAAAAAAACCAAAACCAAAAAGCACCAAAAAAACAACCCACAACACAAAAGCCACCAACCCAAAAAACACACAAAAAAAAAGCCACAAAGTTGATGACTCTAATGCAAAATTGTTTACAGAGTTTCTTCTTTTGGTTGCAGTACAACAAGTTTACTACCACCTACTTTTAATGACTGAAGTGTAGCATATGCTGTAGTTTTGGCCACCTGTATGAGACCAACTGGTATCAAACATTAGCAGGAGATGGGCAGTAATTCATCTTTGAGGAAGAGTGGGTATTTAAGAAGAATAATCACAGATTCTTATTAAATGCCATTAAAACAAAATCTTTCTATTCAAAGTAATGAGTTTCCAAAAGAAGTGTGCTCAGAAAGACATCCATTCTGAATCCTGTCATCCCCAGTGAAGTATTCTGAGTCTGCGCAAAGGCCATGAGAGAGCATAAGTGTTCCTGGAAGAGGCTGATGGACTTCATTGCAGAATGATGCATAGTGGTGCTGAGCAGTGGTGCATCTTAGAAGATGTGCTCTAGAGAATTCTCCAATAATTTGTGAAAATGTCCCATTCTCTGACACTTCTGAAAGCACAGAGTTCTCTTTTTTCAGATGTTTCAGATTTTTGATAAAACCAGGTCTCAGCAGAAAGCAGTTGTGTTTCTTTATACGAAAGATGGCAACAAAAATTTTTCCTAAGGGGAGGAAGAATAGGAAAATTCAACTGTGCAACTCCCTTATGTTATTATAATATGTACTAATAGCAAAGCCCCTCAACAAACAGGAGATAAAAATCTAATCTCACTGAAATGTTTGTTTGGGGAATAGAGTTCAAATTTTGATTTGCCAAAATATGAAGTTGTAATGATTAAGTTGTTACAGCTCAACCAATAACAGAGGTGATTCAAGATTAGCTTTCTCTTTCCTTTGCTGTCCAGCACCACTTTTGCTTGTTCCACTTGCTTTCAAAATCAGTTGTTGGTAATTTGCACCTCTGTGATGTACTGTGTAATGCTTAGAACCCAGATGATTATTTCTGCTCTACTCAGAGATTGGTTATGTTTTTCCTATGTTATATACAAGGTGAGATTCGAATGACTAATGTAGGCCTTTGTTGGGTCCTCACTTATTTGTGCTGACTCTCAGATATCCCACACTAACATATCTGGAAACATAAATGTGTCCTCATGAGAGCACAGAGAAGCTTCAGTTCCCCCTTCTTGCCTACCCCACTTCTTGCTTTCGTTCTAAGTGCACAGTGCAGATAGTTCTTACAGGAAACCTGGTGGTTGGTGTTGTGTATTAAAATCACCGTTTTGCATTTTTCAGGTGCTTTGTACATAAGATTTTAATTTTTTTTTTTTCTAAGTAATAGTACTTAAAAAGCATTAGTGGCAGATCCTGTTGGAGAAGGTTACCTACATCACGGAAAAATAAAGGTATACAAGACATCATGTGTGTTTATAGGCTTTTTTTTTCCTAATTCAACCTGCTTAAAATTGTTAAATATGCTTGAATAGCATATTACTAGTAGTAGTATCACACCTGGCCATATTTTGAGAGGACGAAAAAGCGGTTTTATGTTGTTTTTTACCCAGTAAGAACAAGAAAGAAAATAAATACAGAACCTTGAAAAGGGAAGTTATCAAGAGCATGAACGGTGTTTTGTCTTCTCCATTTGCAGGAGTGACAGAGCTCGCTGGATTACAGCACTTGGACAGGATGGAGGTGGGCAGAAGATGGACAGGACAAGTAAGTTACAACTGATGAGATCTGTGAGAGCTTTGGCAGGAGAATGGGAATGTGCTGCTCCTTAGCTGAGGGCATGAGCATGTATAGCGTAGATGTGCCCCTTATAAATGTCCATTTCTGTTTCTGGGCTGTGTTGCTTTAGTATATGTAAAGTTGCCATCTCTTCTGTGCACGAGGGCTTCTTGGAGGAGTTCTGTTTCGTGCAGTACTTTCCAATTGCATTCATTAATTCTGGTTTGGCCAGTTGTTCCAACCTCATAGCAAAAGTGCTAAGTCCCTTCCCTTACATGTCCATCCGAAGTCTGTTCATGTGTAATTGCTCAGGCAGGAAGCCCTTTGCATAATTTGCTGCCTCCTTTGTTGTGGTTCTTTTTTTGTGGATTTTTTTTTTCTTTTGTGGAAAGGAAAAGAAACTTCCTAAAAAGGAAGTTTTTAAAATAAATTATATATTTTCATATAAGATAGATACTCTGTTATACAGATGGTTTAACTCAGCCTGGCTTATTTCTTTCACAGCTTTGACTCAGGTAGAGATCATCAGAACCTACACAGCAAAGCAGTCAGATGAACTCTCTCTCCAGGTTGCTGATGTTGTTTTGGTTTATCAAAAAGTAAACGATGGTGAGTGAGAACTTTGCTGTCACTAACCACGTGTCACCACTGCAAATGATCCAGTTAGAAAAGTCTGTTTCCTAATAGCACTGGCTGTACAATGAATAAAAGTTTAGCTTCCAAGAAATCTTGAACATTTCACTTCAGGTTTCAGAAGGACAGCCTCTGATTAGGCAACAGCTACTCAAAGTAATTAATTTCTTGTCATAACTTACATAGAACTGCAGAAACTATGTGCTGGCTTGCTTGTAAAATGTCTGGAGATCAGAAATTGAATTCTGCCTAAAACCATGGAGCTTATGTAATAATGCTCACGTTTCAGTGAGTAAGCACCAGCTTTGTCTAAGAGAAACATCCGTGTTAATATGGTCATGTTATACACTGCACTTCACTGCCTGGTCAGCCTAACACAGTGGTTTTGCCTATTTTCCATAGCATCAAGTAGCCCAATATCAAAAATTGATTCTTGCCTGGATGTACAAGAGAATCTACTAGTATCTCACACTGTGCTGACTCGATGATGCTTGAAGCTGTCAGCACTTGAAGTACTAAATCCTAACTTAATGGTGTTATTCGGTATTACATATGAAGCCAAAGTCCCTAGCAGTTGTACCGCATTGCTTTCTTTAGATTGCAATTATATTGTAATCTTTCTATTATTTCAAAATATATTTGAACTAGAATATAAAAATTTGACTTGTTTCATGTAGTATTTATTTTTACATATTATTTTGTTTCTAGTTACCTGTATAAAAAAACCCTATCTATCTTAATCTGCTACTTTATTCCCTGTGAAGATAAATGCATAATGTAGGCAATGACTGTGTCCACTCAAGTGCAACACACACAGTTCTAGCAAGTTATCTTTGACATCACTTGCAAAGGTTTGTTACTCCTTGTCCCTTCACCTTGCAGGTTGGTATGAAGGGGAGCGGCTCCGAGATGGTGAAAGGGGCTGGTTTCCTATGGAGTGTGCTAAAGAGATCACATGTCGTGCCACAATTGACAAGAACATGGAGCGGATGGGACGCTTACTGGGACTTGAAACCAATGTGTAGAGTGTTTGTGCTTCTTCATGCTGCACTGCAGGATTTGCACTAGCTGCTGTCAGTGGGGCAGGGCTGTGTCCCACGGCTCACACGTGGAAGATGTGGGTCACCAATGCAAAAAACCTAGTCAAGGGAGCACTGATGTTTCAGACACTCATCCCTTCGAGAGCTCTGAACTGAACTGGCTCAAGCAGTAGCTTCTTAGGCAGTGGAGATCAGTCACACATCTTTTGACTTCAATTGAAGTTTCAGCTTTAGTTCCTCCATCCCTGCCTCTTAATGTATTCCTTCTCCATCTCTTTTTGAGCATTTTGACTTTCTTTCAGCAGCACTCTGTGTCGCAGTAGGTGCAGGAGGCTGAACACCTTACCTTGTCCTCTGAGCTGGATATAAACAGCGACAGTGGGGGCTTCCTGTTCCTGAGAAACTGCAGCATTACAGTTCCAGTACCAGAGGGTGTTGCTGCAATACTTCCCAGTTGTGTCAGAATCCATGTGTAGAATAACCAATGCTGTAATTCATAAAGGACTACCTCTCCAGCAGAAATCCAGGGACATCCCAGGCCCTTGCATGAATCTGACTCCTCCTAGCGCTGCAGTGCTGAAAGGATTTCTGAAAGCAAGAAAGAGATAAGAGGACTGCAGAATGTGTGATGTTGAGTGTCTTGTTCTCAGATCCGTATCAGCACAGATATTTTAAAGGAGTGTAACTGCTGGAAATGTCTGTTTTGTTTCCAGGCAAAAAGGCACAAGAGAGGTAGATAAAACACTACTGGGACTGTGCTTTCAGAGGAGCTGCATTGGTGCTGCTTCACATGTGCTCTTCTCTCTTCCAGAGAAGACATCTCACACTTGCACTACACACAACACCTGCTAAATTTTAGCATCTGTAGTTTAGCTTTGGAATTTCACAGAAAACCACCACCACTTCATGTTGTGTGAATAAAATGCACTCAAAGATTAAGTAAATTTCAGTGCATATTTTTGTATATAGGTGTGACAGTTGGTACTATAAGAACCTTCACCTTTTTAAGGACCAGCTGGTAATGCAGCAGGACAGAAAACATGTTCAACAAAAATGAGGTAAAAAGTTGCAGTACCAAGGCTTTCTCCTTGTTGCATTCCCCACCTTTGTTAAAGGGGGTTGTATGTTGTTTTATATACTGTAATTATGTTGATTTTATTTGTGAGTAAATTGGATGTTTTTAAAGATTTATCTCTGTAACAATTTAAAATATACTAGGCATTAATTTTGTACAAACCCACTTACCTTGACAGTCGGACAGTGGTTGTAGAGCCTTGTAAATTAAGTGGATTGATAAAATAGTAATGAGAGAAACTGTAAATCGAACAAAGACTATTTAACATAGTAAAAATACTGCTAATATTTTAACAAATTGTATTGTGCACAGGCAGATGTTATAACACAACTGAATGTATAAATCCAGACTTTAATTTTATTCAGATTTTTTTAATACATTGTATATATTTTCATACCTAGTTTTTAAAAAAATGCTCTAGTGGTTTTTAAAGACTTTTCATTTTTACTATTGTTGGACACAATTTTTCAGGAATTAAAGACTGTGTTATGATTTTGTAGGACAGCAATCAATAAAATGCTTTTAAATCCTTACTAAGAAAAGGTTAAATTTTTTTAAAATAAATACTATTACACTACAAGTTATTAATGTAATAGTCAAAGAAATGAAATATCTTCTCTAACCTTTAGAGTTTAAATTTTCTGTTCTGTAAAGATAAGTAACACCACCTTGTGTATTACATGTCACAGATCCAATTTACATGTGTACCCCTGAACTTGGAGCAATGGCATAAAATGCCTGGGAGAGCATCTCATCTCTGAGACTTCATTTTATAAAGAGCATGAGCATGAACATGATCAGGAACATAAGGCTCTTCAGCCACCTCTGCAATTATTTATAATGTATAACTTAGCTGGGGGTTAGTACACAAAGATGATGATTACTTTTATCAGTGCTGACAGCTTGGGCCTCCCCAGTGGCCCCAGCTGTGGTCCAGGAATCCCAGGAGTGGGGACAACTCTTCCCCTTAGCTGTTACAGCTTTGCTGGTGCAGGTGCAGCAGCTACACATTCTTTCCTTTTGTATGTTCATCACAACTGCACAAAGGATCAAAATATATATGTATTAAAAAAAAAAAAAGGTGGCTGCAGCAGCACTTCCTGAAGAGCAGTGAGTTTTCCAGGGAAGCAGATGAAGCCATCATGTTTTCTAAACTACGTAACACCCCCATGCATAGAAATTAAAGACTGCACTGCAAATCCGTTCAGTGTAGCATCAGCACGTTTCTGGAAAAGGCATCTAGTAGGCACAACACTGATGATACCTAGCATGAGCTCTTAAAAATCTTTGACTTTCACTCTAATCTGAACTCCACCATGGCTCAAAGAGTGTTTAGAAATTTAAGACAGCCTGACAAGCGATTTATGTAAAAGGCTGTATAAACAAGTTTTCAAAAGCTAAAGGTTTCCTTTGTTGTTGCCGGGGGCTGTGTGGGTGGAGGTGTGGGGGTGGGGGTGTGTGTGTGGGGGGGTGAACAAAACCAAAACCAAACCAGCAGGAAGCAACTCCACACTATTTGCATTAGCCAAATAAGTCATGTTTTAACTCTGACTTGCTCCCTTCTATTACCAAGGGAATGGCCTAAAGAACTACTTCATTATTCTCACTCATCAGTGTGCACATGTGCACAAACACACATGCACATGCTCTGTTTCCCTCATGCCCAAGGAAGAGGACTTGACACTAGTACCTCCTTTTTAATTAAATAGCTCAGCAGTGACAGAATACAGCTGGGAGTTCATTACCACAGAATTAACTATCATTTCTGCAGGCCCTGGAATTTGTACCACTTCCTTACATGACTTTTCCAATCAGGTTTTAAGCAAGTCGACCAAAGTAAAAGACTCTCAAGTTCCCTAAATCAAATTTTCCTTTTACACAAGGCAATTAAATACTCATTATGCAAGGTGGGCAGAAACCTTGAAAAGTCCAATCTGTAGGACTAGCCCTGCCATTAGGGACCCACATGGATGAGAACAAATCCCAGTTTGTATTTACTTCTCACTGAAGCCAAGACTATACAGAATGTCAGCACTGCCAGGGGAAGGAACCCACTCATTCCCGGGGAGCAGAGATGTCTACATGGGGTTTGTGCACTTCTGAGGGCCACCAAGCACCTTTCAGAACCAGAGCCACCTGACTCAGCATTTCCAAATACGCAGATGACTCAACTAAGTAACACTTAATACCATCTTTAGTCTTCCTGCTTTTTATCATCCCTGTGACACAATAAATAAAACATCTTTATACGGCAAACTTCAAAAAAATGCTATAATGCACTATTCTTCTTGACTTTCATGTCAAAGAATACATTTGCTCTCCATTATGCAAAGCTAATTTGCTGAAAATGAAGAGGTAAAAACATCACTTCAGTCAACCTACACAACTTGAGGAAACACAAACACTCACTGTGCACCATATTTACATGCACATACCTTAAACTCTGTATCTATAGACTACATTAACATGAAATATTTTTTTCCAGTATATCCTGTTTTGAAAGTAACACATTTAAGTCAAAAGAAGTGGACAGAATACAAGTGCTTGTTTGTTAGAAACAAAGCTAGAGTAAATTTTGATACTAAGATCAAGGAAGTCTGAGGAGGTTCTGTTTCCTGGGAATTAGAGAGAGAGCATTGCTCTTAGCTCTAGTATAGTCTGCATATGATTTTCAACAGCTATATACATCATCAACTACATCATTTAGGCAAACTGGAGATAACACAAAGCTCTAGAAGAGTTAATTACCACCCCTGAATTCTGTTTCATTCCATAATCCGGATTTCCAGAAGATTCTAGAAACTCTAATACACAGGCAGAAACAGCCTTCCTTAGGTGTACTGTGAACTGGGAAGAGAAACATTGATGGTTAATGGCCTAGCCATACAAACAAGAAAGCTAAAAAACCTCACATAAGCATTACTTCACAGACTGCTTAATAATTTGGCATTGTGGTTTAACAGCTAAACCTCACAGCCCCTTGCTCACTCCTCTGTAGGGGGATGAGGGAGAGAATCAAAAGGGTAGAAGTGAAAAAACTCATGGGTTGAGGTAAAAATAGTTTAACAGGTAAAGCAAAAGCTGCAGACACAGGCAAAGCAAAACAAGGAATTCATTCACCACTTCCTAGTAGCAGGCCAGTTTTAGCCATTTCCAGCATGCAGAACAGTAACTTGGGAAAACAAAAGCCACAACTCTCAAGGACTCCTCTTCCTCTTTTGTCCATAGCTTTTATCACTGAGCTATATGGCCACACAGCCAGTGTAGGCTATCAGTGGGATCAGCTGTCCTGGCTGCGTGCCCTCCCAGCTGCTCCTGCACCCCCAGCCTGCTCCCAAGAAACAACAGCCCAGAGCTCAGCAACACCTGAAACATCCCTGTGCTGCCAACCCTGTTCACATCACCAACCCAAACACAGCACCATGCACTGACACGAGGAAAATTAACTTGATCCCAGCCAAAACCAGTGCAAAACCTGACATTTAGAAAAGGCTAATTTTCAAACTCTGAAAACCAGAGGTTTCTGATACTTTTGTGCTTAAAAATAATTATGTTAAGCCGCACACTTTCAGCACCGTCAGGAAAGCACAATATCATGGTTCACACATTAGTCACTTCAGAAGTTAAGACCTGGTTATACCTATGTGTGACCACACCAGTGTGCATTTCTTCTGGTGGTGGCCCTACTACCACAGCACAATCCTGATCCTGCACCTTTTCTGGGGTGAGGGTGTAGAGAGAATTGCCATCTGTCTTTTGATTTCCTCAACCAACATTGCTGTTCTTACCCAGGCTCTGCTATTGCTACCCCTTCTTTTTGCCCTTTTTGTCACTAGGTAGAAATTTATACATCATTTAAGTACCACAAAAACCAAGAACATGAAGGAAACTGATGCCACTTGCCAGCCTCCATTTTCTTCATTATTTTTAATCC